AATATATTGAGTTATTGATTCTGCACTTCACGTAGGAATTGAATGAAAATTTGATTAACTAATTTCAGAGGAACTCTTGTCAATGGAAATTGAATTTGTTCTTCAGATCTGAACCAATCACCAAGATTATAGTTTTCTTAGGGATAAGAAACTTTGATCTTGCAATCTTTTGATTTCTTATACTTAAAGCAATGTTGAATTAAATCAGATCTAAGGAATTAGAATGTTTTAATTGAATGTTAGGTTCACTGAGTTAAGGAATTAACCTCTGAACAATAGAACATGAAACTGATTGTCTTTCTTTCCAAATGCTTGTTAATTCAAAACTTTATTGATTAAACATTGGAGTTTAGGTGAAGCAATTCCCTAGCTATGGTTTCTTCCTCTGTTATCACCTAATTATTTGTTCGTTGTTCTGTTTTCTGCAAGTTCATTTTACTTTTAATTGTTCTAGTTTACAACATGTTAATACTCTCCTTCCAATTTTGAAAAAGCTTAAATAGTTATAATTCTATGAAGTGGTATTTGAAACCTAAATTCCCTGTGGAGACGATATTTGGATCTTAAATTTACTCATTACTTGCTGCAATCCTAGTGCACTTGCTACTATTAGATTGCGAACAACATAGGCATATCTCAGCAATAAACTCATATCACATTTAGTACATTCATCAAACTTGTTAATTATAATATTATACTTTTTCATCATATATTTCATATTTACACAGTATAATAAGTTAACCAACCATCAAACACATTCATATTAGTAATCTTTCTTCATTAATACTCATTACTCATACATACATCATCAAAATTGCTACATAAACATGCTTTAATGAACTCAACATTTAACTTACATCATATAATGATAGAATAGAGCTGCCCTTACCTTATAATGAAGATCTAAATGGATATTGATGATGAAGAACATCCTAAAAAAATGGCACTTCTACCTAGATAACACGAATTTATCTCTTAAGAACGAGATTTAAAAAAAAAAACAAACAGTAAAAATATGATTAAACTCAAAGAAACTTACTTAGAATAGTGTAGGATGATTCTATGATCTTAAATTCGAAGAACAATCAAGGTTTTGAGGAGTTTTATCTGAAAAGGAATTGTGAAAGTTGAGAGATATTAGAGGGAACATGAAAATGGTAGGAAAATATGATTTTTCATGCAGAAAAATCCTTAAATACCCTCAGAATGCAACATTCTCCCTACAGTAAGAGAGTATTCGTAACACTCCTTGCTATAGTGAGTCATTTCTTGTTACAGCAAGACTCTCTCTCGCTACAACGAAAATATCAGACAAAGTTGTATTTTATTTTGTGCACTTTTCGCTACAGCGAGACATCCTCTCTACAGTGAGAACGTTCCAAAATGTTCCATTTTCACCACCTCATTCTCGCTACAGCGAGAGCCTTCTTGTTCAACACTTCAAAAAATCTCCCAACATACCCTTACATGCATATTTATCATATAATACAATTTTAATTAATACAGAAATAGGGATGTTACATTTTATTGTATCCATTTACAAGGATGATAGCTAAGTTTTACAGTGTAACTATAATGGCTAAATTTTTCCTAAAAAAATTTAAAAAGAGTTTAAGTTCAAAATTCATGCTCAATTTAAATCTTAATGAAAATTTCATTTTGAGTAAAAGGGAAATGTGTATTCTATTATAACAATAGTATAATTTACCTTATTTCAAGCATCATCTCAAAAGTACAATACATGCATCTTTTTTCTCTATCTTTATGATACAAGTAGTTCTTATAGCATGGGAAAAACACCAATTTGCAAATGGTTGCAGAGGAAACCTTGCCATATACGACTCTTAGTTTCCTATACTACAAGCAATGAGGTTTAAAGTTTGAACATTTACAACCTGATCACGCCAACTAATTAGCAAAACTATGATGAGTTACAAGGATAAATCTATGATGAGTGGAATTTATACTAGAAGAAATATGTTCATATATTTCTCTATAAATTTTCCACACTCTAATCAAATTAAAACAAAGTTGAAAAATGTGATTTTCTTTGTGTCATGTTTATAACTTGAGGGAAGAAAATTATCATTGACAAAAGTTATAAATGAAGTAAGAAGGAGCACAAAGAATAAGGTTGTTGCCATTGAGAAGAGGAAGATTAAGAATTTAGGAGTATTTTTGTCCAAGGAACAAGTGAAGTATTAACGATAAAATTGAACATCTTAGTAATATAAAAACTTCTTCATACATGTTGGCAAGTATACTTATTACGTTATACACTTTCAAAAACTAAATCTAAATTGCACACAACTAAGCATATAGAGGATAAAGTCAACTTTTTCTTTTTTATTATACGTTTGATAAAATAAAAAGTAATTTATTTTGCTCAAATTTATTCTTTAAGTTTTTAATATTAGATTAGCACTTTAATCTTTTGACGTTTAATATTAAAAAAATATATTTTATAGATATACACTTTAGTAATGTCTTTCTAGACTGAGAAAGAATAAATAATTTTAAAAAAAAATGTGTAGATCAATAAATATTTTATATATGACTTGAATTTTCTATCTTTAACTTATTAAGGTAAGAAAATAAGTGATTTTTAAATAATTTAAGCTATTTATTTTAAATTTAATTGCTAATTTTTTTATAAATAAGTGACTTTTTTCACCTTGAAGGTAGAAAATTCAAATATATATTATATATCTATTGGTTTGTTTGCTTTTAAAGTTAGCTTTGAAACTGTTTTTAGTTGTTGAATGAATTCTTTTTACTATAAATATTAAAATTGTACAAGAGATGAGGAGATGAATGTGAGAATAATTATTTATATACTTGTTTTTAGTTGTTGAACGAATTTCTTTTACTATAAACATTAAAATTGTACAAGAGATGAGGAGATGAGTTTGAGAATAATTATTTATATACTTATATAAAGACAACTTTTTAATAATATGGAATATATCTAAGTAAAAGGATCTTTATATGAAAATAAAAATAGTAAATTTAGAACATATAATCATGTAGAAATGGTAAAAGTTAAAAAAAATAAATTAAAATCACATGGTCAATTAAAAGATTATATACTTTTTTTTAAAAAAATTATATTACTTTTATATGTTAATTTTAACAGTTTATGATAGGACATATTAATTAAATTTTATATCTTTTATTCTTTTATATATATATATAATTATTTATTTTGAGAGTAAGTCTTCACTAAATAATTAAGTATATATATATATATATATATATATATATATATATATATAAAGTTTCCTGTTGAAATATTACATAAATAAATAATCATTCAATATTACATAAATATTGAGGGAAAAAAAAGAATGCAACTATCTTCACAAATTTTGAAGTACTAAATAAATTATAATAATTAAAGGAGCAGGACCTCCCCTTGACCGAAACATCGATCTGATAAACGGCATTTCAGCATGTGCAAACCGATGTCAGGTTGGTCTAACTGCTATGCACGCCCTACCAGTGGCTATTTCTATTTAATTGGGTAAGTGCGTTTTATTATTAATTATTATTATTTTGATTCAACTTCAAATTTTATTTTAAAAAATAGTGCAAATTGCAGAAAATTATATATTTTACTTACCATTTATATTATTATTTTTAATTAATTTTAATACATAGTGAACATAATAACGGGTGGATCGTGGTTACATGTGATTTAACGTTAGAATAAGAAAATATATTTTTTTATTGTTTGAAGTGCATTTATCTTTAAAGCAAAGTGAGATATAAAAATCAAAGAAAAATAAATATAATAAATACAATATAGAATACAATGATTAAAAAATATATAAAAATGAAAAAAATTAAAATTATTCAAACAATTATGACTACAGCTCTAAGGAATAAATGTATCTCGTAAGCCTCGGAGGTGTACCTGCAGGTGCAGGTGTTCTGTTCTTAATGTATATTGTATGATTGTTCATTTGTTCTTAAACCCAAAGAAGCTGAACATCTACAGCACCACCGACAGCTCAATAGTAGTGTTGTTTGTGCAGTTATGTGAACTAACGAAAATTTATATCCAATATAATATGAAAAATCTTAATTGGTACCTTACAAAAGTTCGTTGAAAAAATTAAAAAAAGATTTATATAATATTACATTCTATTTGGGCACAACTTTACGGTAAATGGTTGTCTACATTCACGGTTTTTATTAAAATAATAAATACACCAAAACCAAATTTTATAACAGGGAGTAAAAGAGGGCCCGCAACTCAGTTAATGGATAGCTAAAGTCAAAAAGGAAGCATCTACGGAACCCAAGTTCAGTGTTAAACAAACTATTGGAGTTGCCTCGTTTATTACCCTACTTAATGGCACCAACTCCATTGAATAATGTTAAAATCCACGTCCCGTTTTCGCTATCCATTTGATCACAGTTAGAGTGCACTACTTGGATCATAATATATATATATATACACACACATGTGTATGTATGTATATGCGTCTAAAAATATATATCCTAAAACAAAGGAATCCGAAAATGGACAAACATGGTTTTCCTTGTCATAAACTAGATGTGGTCCACTAACTAATCTCCAACCTAGCTAACTACAAACAACACCTGCACTGTGTCTTTGCTAAACAAAAACGAGGCAACGACCTTGCCATGTTTCATTATCTGAGGAGGAGCAATGGGAGATAAGACAAGCAAATAATTAAAGCGACCGTTTTACTATGAAATTTTGAAAGCGGTACACTATATAAATATGAATTTACCCATACATAACGTCAGAGGCGGCCATAAAATACAAGAAGAGAAAAAATAAAGAAAAAAGGATCGTTAATCCTAGTCATTGATACAATGCTTGTGCAGAGAAAAGCAAGCTATGTCTGGAGAGACCATAAATTCATTGTCCCCGGGACCCAAGTGATCAAATGTCCCTCTCTTTTTCTTCTTCTATATCACTTTCTAGTTTCTCTCCATTGGGAACGCAACACACACAGCAACTCAAAATGACTATTCACTTCATCTGCTTGTTCTTGTCACTCTCATCTTTCCATGTAAGAAGCAACACAACCCACTTCAATTAATGCATAAAAATCTAACTGCATTGTAATTTCCATGTTAAAGTTGTTTCCTAATTTCCCTCATGAATGCAGGTTTGTTTATCTCAAGCTCCACCAGCACAACATTCCAAACAGATCAACCCATTCAGCCCCAAAGCCTCTCTCATTCGCTATTGGAACACTCGAGTCTCCAACAAACGTCCCATCCCAAACTTCTTTCTTTCTAAAGCTTCCCCTCTCACACCAAACCACTACGCATTCCTCAACAGCCTCCTCAACCGTAGCCCCAAACCCTTCACACCACAGTTCCACCACTCTCTCTGCTCCGCACCAAATTTATATTGTTCCTTCGACGACACCGCAAACACACTTCAACACCCCACCGTTTCCAAAAACGACGACGCCAACTTCGCCGTTTACTCCAACAAGCGCTTCGCAAACTACGGTTCCTCCCGAGTCGGCGGAGTCGACTCGTTCAAGAACTACTCAAACGGCTTGAACTCAAACAACGACAGTTTCAGGAAATACAGCACGACCTCAACTCGCCACAGTGGCGAGTTCAACAACTACGCCGAAAACGGCAATGTTGCAAACACCAACTTCACAAGCTACGGTTCCGGCGCTTCCTCTACGTCCAACGACTTCAACAACTATGACAAAACGGTTAACGTCCCCAACCTCGGTTTCACCACCTACGATTCCGGCGCCGGAAACCACAAGCTCTCGTTCTCAAGCTACGGCAATGAAACAAACTCTGGCACCGAATCTTTTGCCAGCTACGGCAAGCGCATTCGCGGCGGAACCAGCGACTTCAAGAACTACGCTGGTGGCGCCAACATCCTGCAATCCGAGTTCGCCAATTATGGCGATTTAAGCACTGGAGTATCCAACGATTCCTTCAAGTTCTACAGCTTCGACGGCAACAATCCTCGGAACGTTTTCAAAAGCTACGGCGCCGGATCGGTCTCCGGCTCCGACACGTTCAACAGCTACCGTAACCGTGCCAATGTCGGCGACGACTCATTCCAAAGCTACGCCGTGAAATCGAAATCCGGCACAGCCAATTTCGCCAACTACGGCCAATCGTTCAACGTGGGAAACGACAGTTTCGCCGAATACGGAAGAGGATCGTTGGGCCGGGCCTCGTTTGGGTTCAGGTCGTACGGGTTGGGCCGCGCGTTCAAGGGATATAACAAACAAGGCGCGTCGTTTGCTGAATATCACAATCTTAGCGCTTCGAGTGGCAAAGTTGTGAATAAGTGGGTGCAGCCAGGTAAATTTTTCAGGGAGGAAATGATGAAGGAGGGGAACGTGATGGTGCTGGCGGACATTAGGGATAAGATGGTTGAAAGGTCGTTTTTGCCCCTCGGCATTTCGTCGAAATTACCGTTTTCTTCTTCGAGGCTGGAGGAAATGAGGCAGGTGTTCCACGCGCGGGAGGGGTCGGCTACGGAGCGCGTGATGGTAAACGCATTAGAGGAGTGCGAGAGGGCTCCGAGCCGGGGTGAGACGAAACGGTGCGTTGCATCCGCAGAGGGAATGATAGAGTTTGCGGTATCGGTGTTGGGATCCGACGTGGCGGTGAGGACTACGGAGAATGTGAATGGTTCAGGAAAGAGCGTGATGATTGGAAGGGTCTACGCAGTGGACGGTGGAAAAGTGACCAAGTCAGTCTCGTGTCATCAGAGTTTGTACCCTTATTTACTGTATTATTGTCACTCTGTCCCCAAAGTGAGAGTGTACGAAGCTGATATTCTTGACGTGGACACTAAGGTGAAGATTAATCATGGGGTTGCCATTTGTCACGTTGACACCTCATCGTGGGGTCCAGAACATGGTGCCTTCTTGGCTTTGGGGTCTGCCCCCGGAAAAATTGAGGTGTGCCACTGGATCTTCCAGAATGACATGACTTGGACCATTGCCCATTGAGGACAATATCTCTGCTTTGGTTTTTCTCCCTTAGTTCGATGATTTAATATTGTGAACCCACATTGCGTTTTTGTTTTCTTACTTATGGAATTCTATTTATAATTCAGCTTCTGTCGTTTACTCGAATAGGTTTGAATTATCCAGTGGTCATGACTTGTGACTTTTTTTCTTCCTTGTGCCTTTTAGCTATTACCTATTAATTAAATGATTGTGTGATACTAATTCCGTTCATTTTGGTCACGCTTATTTTTAATATTTATGTAATGTTTAATTTGGCTTCAAATTAATTTATTTCTATAAGTTAAAGTTTTTGGATGAAACATTACATTTAATATATATTTATCAGATGCTGTTTGCGTGTTTTGAATTCATATTAAATACAAACATACATTTTTTTTAAAGCTATAAATTATAATATTCATTTAAAATATAACTTAACGTAATTGTGTCGAATATCCAAAACGCAAAATGTTTAGAGATAAGAAATAATAAATCTGGGGGACGATGAGATGTGATAAAAAATAAAAAAAGTAAAAAATATTAATGAGATTGATATTAAATATAAAAAGACGTGAAGGCTGAAGATTCAGGTGACATTGTAAGGCAAGAGAGATGCGAAGGTTAAGAAATGTTTGGCGAATGGAGCTATTTTGTGATGATGGGATGGAGGCATGGTTTTGATTGTTACAGTAACAGAGGAATGCCTTGGCTAGGGAGCCAAATGGCATCATACTTGTTTCATATATGACTCATTTGTGCGCATGTTGGGGAGTGGAGTGATTGTGCGGTCTAAAGTGAGAGCATAAACAGCATGCAAGCATTGCAGCTTTAAGTGCAACCCAAGAAATGGACCATCAAAGGCTCAAAGCCATGATCCACATAGCATATGATAAGTGAGTGAGTGTAGACTAATGGGTGGCATGACATAGGCAAAGGGGACAATATCGGGCAAAGAGGACCCACCACCACTTCTTGCATAGCCCTTTAACCCTTTTAGGCTTGTGAAACAGTGTATGTCGTATCCGGGAAAAACTGTGTCACGGTTTAATAAAGCCCAATTTTGATAATCTTCAATAGCTGATTGAATAAACTTCGTTTCTCTCTTTAATTGTACGTTGCTTCTTTTCTATGTAGCTTTTGCTGTTGTGTTCTTCATTTTTTATGCTTTGACTGTTTGGTGTCGTATCTGAGTTTCTTCGATCCGTGTCTCTCTTTTGCATCTCTCCCACGGAATTTTAGTAATGCGCCTTAAAATTTTGTGGCAGCCGTTGATTTGTTCGAAAATTTGATCAACGGCTAGCTCTTATTTCATTCTTATAGCTTGTAAGATAGACTAAAGTTGTTACAATCACTAATTAATAATTATTAATTGGTCAAAAAAGAATATGAAAATTTTGAGTTCTTATATTGTAATAAATCGTTGTCGATTATTAAAAATAAAAGAATAAATGTATAAGTTAGTTATTAAATATTATAAAAAATGTATGTTACTTTTTACTTTCTTTTTTTCACCAAATTTAAGTTCTAACTATAAATGCTAGGGAAACTTACACTTAAATTTTTTAAGTTTAGTGATATTACTCTTCACATCCATAACTTTGTTGTATTCATCTGTTCTATTAGCACAAACTTTCTCTTTTTCTATATATTAGTATATAAATTAAACGGGATTATTATAATATAAAAATTAGTATTAAAGTAATATTGTTATTAAACTTAAAGAATATAAATTTGTCAACAGTATTACTGATTACTGATTTTGTTTATTGTTTTTTATACTTTTACTTTTTAATATTATTTTTTAACCAAGAATAGAGTGATTCACCATTAAGGTCTAATTGGCTAAAAATCATTAAATCAGTTAAAAATTAATAAAAAAATTAAAACTATTAAGTTATCTTATTGAATTAAGACGGTTTATTAAAATTTATTAAAAAATTTAATAAATATAAAGTAACATAAAATTACAAATTTGTATAATTTTTATATAAATTTTTACTTTTATTTTTCAGGCAAAAGTATATCTTTAGATAATTATAATTTTAAGTTTTCTTAGTTAATTTTAACTATTATTATTTTAATCTAAAGATTAAATATTTTAATAAAACTAAAAAAAATAGCACAAAAAATCTAATGATTAAAATAAATAGCATAATACTAAAAAGTAACCTAAAATATTGAAAATAGTATAATAATTAAAATAATATCGAGGATAAAAGGCTATCAAGTTGAAATAGTATATAGAAAATTAGCCAAAAAAAAAGAAGAAATAGTATATAGAAAATATTCTAATTAGTGAAACATATTCTTTTAACCAACACTTTTATTTTAGTCAAATAATTGTTTTGTGTAATTGTGTGTTCCCTAAAAGCATTATCCAGTCAACAGACTAATTATTTTTACAGTACTGAAATTATTGAATAAATCTTAATTTTTACTTTTAGACGAGAGATTTTTGAAAAACAATCCACTTTCTCGTTAAATCGGATAGCTTCTTCTACTATAGTTTTTTTTATAATAATATTTGAACAAAATAAAATTAGAATTAAATTTAAGTAATATTATTCAAAATCAAATATTTAAAATATATAAAATCAAAAGAATTATTTTTTAAGGTAAATTAATTTTAAAATTATTAAAATTTTACTTAATTCTAAATTAAATTAAATTAAATTGGTGAATTTTAACACATCCTTAAAATGATACTGATGTCTGGATTGAAATGACGTATTTTTATTTTTATTATTTTTAATGATTTTATATTATTAATTTATTTTTATTTAATATAATGAAATATTTATTATTAATTATAAAATTATTTATCATGCTCTTTATTTTATGTTGTATATATTTTATTTAAATTTGAAATTTAAATATAATGTACAAAATATTATGAAATATTTATTAATCATGCTAAATATTATCAATAACTAACTTGTAAATTAAATAAGTAAATAAATAGTTAAAATGATTAGAAAAATATGCGAAAGCTAAAAGGAGGTAAATGTGATTGTGTTTGTTGTGCAAATAAAAATTTTAATTGATAATTTCTACATAACTACATAAACCAAGAAGGCATTTAATATTCTCTCACACATAAAACAATTATCATTATTAATTTTATATTAATAGATAGTTGTGTTTGTATTTTATTTGAAAAAGATATAAATTCTTTTTAATCTCTAAGATATTAGAGGAATAATAACCGTCAATTTAGAGAGAATATATAATGCCCTTTCAAATTTACATGCACCTTAGCAAACACCTAAGTAAGTATATTAAGCAAACTCACGAATGCATTCCATTCAGACTTAAAAAGAATATGAAAAATTGGATAGAAAAAAGAGAAAAGAGAGTGGGAAACTAAGATATAGTATGCCTGTAAAGAGAAAAACAAAAAAAAAAAGCGACTTCCACTAACAATACAAGATAAGAGTGTAAGTAAATTTTCACATGTCAATCTTTAAATTAATATATTTTACTATAAAAATTTTATTATCAATAATTAAACTTGTTTATCATGTATGTTAAAAAATTAAGACAAGTGATCAGTCAACGTGAAGGCATTTTTTTTTTTACTCAACCATCAATAAATTATGAATGTAGTGATATTTAAATTCACAACAACTTATAATGATAAGTTGTATATACACAAGGGAGCAGCAAACACAGATAAATACAAAATTCAAGGTCGAGTGAACCTAAATCATGCCTGTTTGTTTACAGTATATTTTGAAGAAAAACATTTTTTCTTTAAATCTCTCAGAAGAAAAAAAATTCTTCAAAATAAGTTAACCCAAATAGAGACATATTTCAGTTTAGAAAATGTTAGAAGAAATCTATATATACATAGACATTCGATCCCTCTTTCCAATATAACATTAAAACACAGGAAAACAAGAGAAAGAAAACAAAAAACAAAACAAAATCATATATCAAAACACCATATATCTCCCCTCACCAATTAGAAAACCACACTAAGTTTATAAAAAAAAATAAAAAAATACAGCAACAAATATAGTAACTGTGTTTCACTATTAACAAAATATATTTAAAAAATGAAACAAAATGAAAAAACCTTTGGAAAACATTGGGGTTTGGCCACTAAGCTACTCCAACACCTGTAACAAAAAAAAAAAAAATCAAGTTTGTAAAAAAGGGTCAAAAACTAAAAATAAAATTAAAAAAAATGTAAACAAAAGAAAAAGAAAAAAGAACTTTGCAGCTCTAGTGAGACGATCGCCACACTCACCTCTCACCAACGGAGATGTTGAGCACGAGCTTCTGAACCTTGATTTCCCACCTTGGGGCTCGACAGTTTCTTCTATGAAGCCTGCAGCAAACAATAAGAAACAAGCGGTTTTTACTGGTGAGAGAGAAGAAACAGATACGTACCGTCGGAAATGGAAGCAGGAGAGAAGTGAGAGTTTGCAGCGGCACCAAAGCTACCAATGCCTTAGGTCTCAGAAGTTAAAAAAAAACTATGTTAATACGAGGAGTAATGCTATTTAAATACAAGTAATGCTATTTAGACACTCATTTTAGGTGTATGTACACGACACCGTGTAGGAAAAGAAATCAAGTAGTGAGTTGCACTAAACTTATTCTACACAAGCACCAGTTACCAAACCTTTTTTCAAGTAACACTACATGTTCTTCACTCCCGCCATCTCCTTCCTTAATAATACTACATGTTCTTCAAGTAACTTTTTCTTCACGTTATTTTCAGGCTAGCCTGTGCATTTTACTATGTGACTTTGCTCTTCACTTCTCCTCTCACGTCTACACGAGAAAAATAAAGTTATTTTTCACTCTCGCCATGTTTTTCCTCTGTTAAAGTAGATCTTTTTCATGTGACTTCTTCTTCACGTTACTTTCGTGCTAACCTATGGATTACTCTGTGTGAGTTCTGCTCTCCCACTTCTCATCTCATGGATACATGAGTCTTATCAAAGTTGGTGCATTACAAATCCAACACTCAGCTTCTTGCATTTAAGCTG